AGTACAGATACAATAGTTGGCTCTTCCTTTTTGCCAAAGGGGTGAAAAATAAATAATAATAATAAAAAAAATCAGAGCTGAGACTACATGCAGACTTTGCATGTTGCTATGAGTTCATGTTCCCTCCAGGCTGTGTACTTGCTGGGTCTCAGCTCAGGATCGGAGCCAAATCTTGTTTTCTCTGCCACTGTTCAGGTACATGCTTTTTGTCTTCAAGGACCTGGGTGATGGTCAGCAAGTCAGTGGTGACACTGTAGTGAACTGGACCCTGAAAGAATCTGGCAAGTCCACCTGCATCCCAAAACTTCAAGGTGCAGGTCCAAAAAGAGTGGGAGTTCCTAATCACAGAATCTTTCGGTCAGGTAGTACTTCTTGAAATCAAACTGTTGTCCTTGTCAGTAACGCCTTAGTAGATGTTGCCTGGACTATCATGCCTAATTGAGAGGAATGCAAAACAACTCAAGCACTTCTTTGCAATGATCTCCTCTGTTTGCTCAGGCTTATGAAATGCTCACCCAGTGATCAGGGTTTGGAGATTGAGCCCTTGTCTTTTTCTCATCTTTCTGAATCACTGTAAGTTGTCAAGTTTAAAGTATTTCTATTAAATCATGGCTTTGAAATATGTGTTCTGTGACTATTCTGTAGTAGCATAATGACAGGCAGTTTTCTTGTCGATAATAGTCGCATTTGATTATTCCTAAAAATGCAAACAGAAGGTGGAATGTAAATGTTAGCTGATAAGTCCTCAATTTTGCATGCTAGCTATTAGCCTTAACAAATATTAATTACAAATTTTAACAGTTGGCAAAGTGGTCTTGACATTTCAAAGGTGAATTTACACATTAAAGACATTCATCTCTGCTGGGGAAGAGGAATACGGCAAGATCAAAATGCATGCATAGAACTGGTGCGACAGGACTGCTGCACATCTTGAAAGCTAAACTGAACCTTAGTAAAGAAGGTAGCAAGTGAAATTATGTTGGATGGGGCGGAGCTAACTTGTCAGTTTTGGGTACCAGACCAAGAGCCAATGAAGTCCTCATATCATGGCAAATGGGGATGCTGTATCCACGGCAAGAAGAACTGGCTCCTGAGTGTGTGCTCTTCCAGATCTTGCAGTGGTGAAACCAAAGATAGAGATGACTGTATGCTGCTTAATGGACAGAGGAATGAAGCAAGTATACAAGAGCTGATCCATGTAAAAATTTAAACAAACAGACAAAATGCAACAAAAGTTCACCTTCCCACCAGGGGTCCATAAGTAGCAGACCAGCCATGTCCATGCTGAAATACTTATGGTCTAGCAACTGCCAAAGCTCTAAGATTCTATGCTTTGCAAACTGGTATCAGGAGAGAGGAGTTTTAACCAACAAACATATTCTTTTCCCATAGGAAAATTTCTCGAGAGCTCACAGAAATGCATTAGTAACAGACCAGCATTTGCAGTGCTGCTCTGGAGCTGTTTTCACCTCGTTATTTCCCCAACACACGGTGTGTGGTTTTGTGCTTTGTTTTGTTTGTTTGTTTTTCCCCTGAGAGATACGTGGTGGTGGGTATGAGCTGTTCTGGGATTTTATCTTTATTCCTACCTGCAGTCCCGATAAATTGCTGTCATTTGGTCCAAGGTTTGACCACTTCTTCACCCTTGCAAGCAAAGCAGCCATACAAAAGTTGGGATCTGCGAAGTCCTAAGCTGAGTATCACATGACTCCTGCATTGCTCAGCTTGGTGTCGGCTCTAAACTCGGCCCACGGTGCACTCAATCCCATCGCTTAGGTCATTGGAATAGATCAACCTGTCCCCAAGCACGACCGTTTCAGCCGTATTATCAAGCCCTGCACGGCGCGCCCTGGATTAGTTGCACTCCTCGCTCTATCAGCTGGAATCCAACGGCGCCGCGAGGCGCAGGCGGCGAGAAAGGTCGCGCGCCCCCTGCTGGTGAGGGCGTGTGTGAGCGCGTGGGGGGCGCTGGGCGGGAAGTGCGCGCGGCACAGCCCGCTCCCCGGTCGCCATACCTAACACAGTCACCAGGTGGCGGTGCGACGTCGGCGAAGCGCAATTTCTAAAGCTGCACTGAAACCTTCGAGTACTGAGTACGGCCCTTTGCTAAAAAATAACGCCCAAACACTAAAAAACAAACAAACAACCCCCGCCTCCCCCAACAACGACAACAAAAACCTTGCTTTTAGTACACAGGTAACTTTTTCCTGGCCTCTCCGGGCCTCTCAAGCCCTTCACTGAGTACTTCCTAATGTCCCGGAAAAGAAGCGAAAAGAACAAACTGTTCTCATGGAGCAAGTTGGAGAGCTGGTTCACAGCCCTCTCAAACATGATAACAAGAAAAACGTAGGTAGGTTTTACTCTGGGAGGAAGAAGCAGTAACTAACCATGCAGAAAAGAGGTTTATACAGAAGGGGAGTCTGAGGTGCTGGTAAGAAGTAAAAGGGCATCACCAGGACAACGCATTCACACGATCATCACAGAGGACTTACATTTGTTCTGCACGGCTGGGATTTCCTCCATGGTGCCTCTGTCTGTGCTGGTAATACTCATCAAATGCAGAAGTAGCCATGATGGGATTTCAGGCAAACACTGACCTGTCCTGAAATCAAACAAAGTTAAAAGGCAATGAGCAGAGAGGTACATAACATTACCTTACATGCTGTGAGAGAAAGGACAGAAAAGCAGATCTTAGCCCAGAGCTGCAGCCTCTCAGAATACAAATTTTAGGCGAAATAGGAGAGATCAGTGCAACCAGCCTGACTGCGAAAGCCATCACATACCTGAGGAAACAAAGGGCAAAACACATCTGTTTGGGTCCTGCCACCTGCAGCCTGAGTAACATGCAGTTTTCATTTGACTGAAGAGGAGAAGGGAAAAAAAGTCTATTATCTGCTAAATCTGCAAACAGAGCTGCATTCTTGATTACAGCTCCAATTAAAAGAAAGTACAAACTGTTCTCTTGGTCAAAGTGAAAACAAGCAGCAAGAATTCAGTAGTATCCCTGAATTCCTTCTGAAATCTTACTATGAGAGTGTGTGGGAACCCAGCAGGCAAACCCAGCTCATGGGCACTGAAGATGCCATCATGGAGCCCTTACGAAGACACAGGCAGATCATGGCAAGCATTTACCTCCTCAAGCTGTGCCCTCCAGGTAAGTCTCTAAATTTAGTTTCTGACTTAAAAGTAGATTTTTGTTTGCCTAACACACTGTGCTGTTACTTGCCACACAGCGAAGAAGTAAAGTAGCTAAGTTAATTTTACTTTAAAGAAACAAGTTCCACATGCCTTAACAAGGGCAGGAATCACCTCATAAAGTTCAAACTCGTCTGCCAACAACAACAAAAAAAAGTACTTGAAATCAACTGAGCTGTCATTTATTGAAGAATAACTGAGTTTAAAAGCATGATTTGGTCATAATTTGGCCTAGTAATATTATAATAACAAGGGGCTGGCCTGGTGCGTGAGCAAATGAAAGTAACTAGTCTCTTGATCACCTGTATGGGCTCTGGGCTATTTTTCCTCTCCCTGCAAGGGAAAAATGGGTAAGTATCTTTCAGCACAATGCATGAGCTGACCCCAAACCTTCAGCATCCCTGTGTCTGAAATGTAACAGGAATGGCAAAGTGAATAGGAGTAGGGGAAAAAAGGAAAAATTCAGAATGCTTGAGGTTGGAAGGGACCTGTGGTAGTTGGGTGATATCTGGATGTCATCTTGTCCAAAACAGAAGTTTTTAACTGTTAAATAACTGTTAAATAAATAAAAAACTAACTAAATTACCTGGATAAAAACTGCTGTTGAAAAAGCAAACAAAAACCTGATCTGAGCTTTTATGAATTGTCTGGGAAAATTTCTGTTCAAAGAAATTCTCTTCATGCTGTGCTGATAGCTTAGATTTTATATTCTTTTGTATGCTGGGTGCTGATCTGAGCAAGCATGGGATGCGCACGCAGGTGAATACAGGCATGTAAGTCAGGACTTAACTGGAACAGAAAAAATTGAAATAATAAATACTACCCGAGCCTTAGCTATGCAAAGAATAGAAAGAAACTGAAACTGCAGTTCTGCTCATGCATTTGTAATTTTCAACAGAAAATCTGATCTAATAGAGATCATCTATTCCTGATTGGTTATTTCTAGGAAAGAATCTTGTGTAATTGAGTGCTTGTTACACTGTATATTGTATGCATATAAATTAAAGTAAGTATGCCTCTAAGCCATTATCCAAGCCAACTATGAGCCTAATCTGTTTATCATGCTCCTTGTAAGTTAGTAATGAGAGGCTGGTAGGACTTCTCTAAACTTGGGATGGCCTGGAAAAGATCCAATAGTTTTACAGATCTGAGAATTCCAATAGGAAGAAAGAAATTAAATTATATGTACAGTGTTATTATAAATAAAAGTTCCCAAATTTCAAACCCAATTTGAACCATGGCCCAGACTAAGGGGTGATGTGACTGTGCTGCTACATCGTGTAGCACAGTTTCAGCTTCCCATTTCTTTCAAGCCCTGAGGCTTCCCTCCCACTCTTCCTCTTTATAGTAGCCCAACTGCGCTGCCTAACATGTGATGGGAAAGGGAGCGGAGATCAAGTTCACATCCTTTGCTTGCCATCTCCAGCTCCACAAAGACTTCTGGTCACTTAGTTCTCTCTTCTACCAATGGAATAATCTGCTTCTTCATCTTCCTTTACACAAACATGCAGTTGTACTTTTCCTCCTTTTTCCTTCAGACATGTTTGTAATCTAGGCTCCTAGGCCATTGATACATGAAGGGAGCGCTACAACACTTTCGCCAAAATTTTTTTTACAAGTTGTTATGAGTTACATCCTCTTGGTATGTCTGAAAAGCATCACACTGCTTCAGTGCTGTGCCATTTTCAGGCTAATGCTTTTTACCTCTCTGATGAATTGGCATATGGTTATGGCACAGTTTAATATTATGCTCTACTCCATACAAGAAGCTACAAGAAGGTGTTCAGCAATATCTTACCAGTATAATACAGACTTTCTCTCAGTGTACAGTGAGTAATTTGCAGCGGGAACACAGGGACCACGAACAATAACATTTATCTTCAGATATTTTTATCACGCTCCTGCAATCTAGGCACTGCAAAATAAAACCAAAATTAAATTCATAGATAATTCTTCAGAATTATCTTCAAAATCAATGCAACCTCTGCTAGGGCTGAGTTGGAGTTATTCAGAGCAGAGGAGTAAATGTCCCTGTGCTATGTTTGGAGGTAACTCTTCCATCATTGGAAATAAAAAGCTATGCATGATGTACTTAAGCTGTATAAAAATTCCCAGTTGGTAATACGTATTCTATTTTGAATGACATAATTAAAAATGTTCTGTACAGAAAGCCCACAGCAAGTTATGTAGAAATATATAATATGACATTTCAAGGGTTTGATTTTTTCAGGACATTCCTGCATTTCTGAGTACTGTATTTCTGAATCAAAAGTGTTCCAAGAAAACAAGGAATTCAGCAAGCCCTAAATATATCGCCAGAAGCCCCTCAAGTTCAGGTAGCCAAGCCTGAAGGATTATGTATGAGTACTTTCCGTTTGACCACCTCATGGCTAGAGCCCAGCGCAGGTAATGCACTTTCCAACGCCCTTGCAGTCTCCAGACTTGCTGGGCCTCACATCCCATCCCAGAAGTCCTTAAACTCTTGCCTTGCACCATGCCTTCACTGTACAATAAGCATAGGGCTGCCTTGCAGCACTTGTCTCTTATCACAAAGCCAGAACCTGTCCCCAGCCTGCTTCAGTTTCTAGACAAATATCCTGAAACGCCTAAACCAGAGCTGTACGAGGGCTCTCAGAAATGCCAACATTTCTATGGCAATGCTAAGATGGAAGAAATGGAAGTTTGGGGCTGTTTGTAAACTGTATAAAGCAGGGATGCCCTGGAGCTTTCCATGCTGCTTTGTGAACCTCATTACTGGCACTGAGAATATCCCTGTCCCCTGAAGCAGCTGCTATGTGAGGGAAATATTTTGGTTCAGATACAGTGAGTACAAGTGCTTCTGAAATCAGATTTTCTTTGATTTCTGGTTCACAGATTTCTGCTGGAAATACAACAAATTGAATGAAAAGAATTAAATAATGTCTCATAAGCTGTGGACCTTGATTCTACAGTCATCTCTGCTTGGCGCTGTTCTGTAGAATAAAAGTTGATTTAAGGATATTTCTGATTGCTTACCTGCTAGTGGATAAAACAATAACATGGTTGCTGGGTTTAGCTGTATAGCTGCTTGTTTAGTTACGCAGATAGTATGAGGTAAGTACAGCCTTAACATTGGTGCTCAGAACAAACAAAAAGTGCTTGGTTTTGCCAGCATCAGTCAATGCAGGACTCTTTAATGCAATGTGTGAAGTGGGAGTAGGAAATACTCCTGCTCTGATCCATCACTGCATTCACCCAAATAATATATCTTTTTAGAAATGTTACCTGCAGCAATATCTATCAGAGCAAAGAAGGAGGGAGAGCAATGAATTAACATTAACGCCTGTTAGTTGCTCCTTATGAAGTGACTAGTCTGGTGAATCTCTTGACATCACCAAAAAACATGATGCTTTCCTTTGTATTTTTTCTGAATCATGCCATATCCCTACAGGATTTTAGCTTCCTTCTCATTAACTACTTGGTGAAACAATTGCTGTACAAGTGGGTGGTGGGAATCGAGTAGCAGCCACTCTCCTTCCTATCTTCCTTGAGCAGCATGCTGCAACCTGCTGCTTTGTTAACATCCTGCTGGCATTCATTCTCTTTACCTAAGTGGTATCTAAGATAGGAAAATATTTGTTTGTTTAAAGTGCAGCTTCTTCTGAGAACAAGGTCAAGGCATATGAAGTATGTGCTGTTTTTTATACAACAGGCTTTGGTATAGGGTCAGTTGAGAACTGAGTAATGTCTTGCGTTCAAATATTTCCTATTTTAACAGCTATCTCTGAACAAATCTGAGCTTCTGAATGACAACATTGCCATGTGCTTAGTTTAACCTGTGCTAGTTACCTTGACATACTAGCCATGGAATTGACGTCACCATGGAGCTGGCAATGTGCAGCCACCATGGGATTCAGGAGGGAAGAGATACAGCAGTTCTGTCCTTGCCCTTCTCAGTTTCATCCTCTTTCTGGCTTCTGTGTCATTCCCTGCAGCTACTGCCACCATTGCCAGTAATTTCTAGCTCCTGTATAGCACCTTTCATCTATAGCCTCTGTAGAAGCATTCCTTTTACCTTCATTAAATACCTAACAAGGCATTTAGGCTCTTCCTCCTCCAACCATGTCTGGCATCTACAAATCTCTTCTTGCTGTCTTGGCAGCCTACTGGGCTAAGCCTTAGTCATCTAAACAGCAGCTGCGTCAAGGGAGTGCCTCAACAAAAAGCAGCAAACCAGTTTTTGTTTCAGAGAGGTATTTAAGATGTGAAGTACCAGCAATGCTCCTAACTGAAGGCAGGCTTTGGTCAGTTCACTGTCTAAAACAGCTACAGATTGAGAAAGTCTCCATATTACTTAAATAGTTTCCTAGGGTGGTATTGGGGGGCGAGGAGGGGAGGCAGGAAGGAGAGGGGGAATGGAATTATTCGTTGAGCCTAAGCAGAAACCAAGGCTAGGCTACTTTTGGAATCACAAAACCAATTTAAAAACAAAAGCAGTTATGCGTGCAGAATTACAGCTCACCATCTACCCCATATCCTCTTGAAATAAACATCTAAGAAAGTAAAAAGCTCAGAAAACCCAGATGTCAGACTCTCAAAGTTGAGGGTGACTTTACAGGTAGCGAGAGTAGGAACATGGGGAAATAGCCGAGGCTGCTGCGATACCAACTGTGCTCTGTCTCTCCTTACCAGTTAGGAAAACTTGTAACCTAAGAAAGGATAACACGCTCTTCCTCTGTTCAAGAAGAGATTTCCAGAGTTCACATTCAGACAGTAGTCTTCTTGATGAGCATCCTCACTGCCTATCTTAAGTGCTTAAGCACAGTCTGCTCTCTGCAGATTTTTAGCGATGCAGTGGTCCCATATAAATACAATTCCAGGTACCTAGAGAAGGTGCACACTGCAAAACTGACGTGTATTGCTGTGGTCTGAAAAGGGTGTGAACGAGTGCTGCTGGCGTAGCACGTTTGTGGCCAGCATGGACCCCTTTGTGGATGACTGGCTCTGTATTTCCTTGACAATTTGGAGGCATTATTTTGAGTACTGTTAAAACAGAAAACAAAAATACTATATATATATATATATATATATATATATTTGGCTCTATTTACTTTGTAAAATTAGTTCCATAAGCATTTTTTAGGATGACTTTCTAGATCCAATAAGGATCTAGTAAGCATTCATTAAATTAGATGAATTATGGGTAAAGACAGAATTTGCAAATATATTTTTGCTTGGCTTTGCCTCACTGTTGGCACAGATATCTGGAGACTCTGATTCATGAACACCGTTTTCAGATCAGATTTACTTTTAAGACCAGAAGTACACTTACATTAAATGAACAACTTTGTGATGTGTTTGCCTCAGATTTTCTGAGAGAACGTGTCCTGGCTGTCAAGTGATGATTACTGTTAGAAGGCTTGCAAAATTCTTGTCTCGAAAGTCCTTGCAGAGTTTAAAGTGGTCTTCAGGCTTTTTTACAGAATGCAGAACAGATAACCAGAAATAGTATCATTATATTAAAATGCTTCCTAGAAACAACTGATATAATTTAAAGAAAGTGACTCAGAAAGAGGTGTGGCTTTGTACAGTAATCCTCAAGCAGGAGATAATAGGCTGAGACAAAGTATTCTGTCTGTGTTTCTGCTTGTTTGTTAAATCTTCTCTACTTAATTACTTTGTGGGATTGAGAAGAACTTTCAGGGTGTTTCTTTCCAATTTCAGAAGAATGAAAAAATTGAGGATTCTATTAATAGTTTAATTGAACAGCTGGCATAAATCACAGTACTCTATACTAAGAAGTTTGTAATTTGTCATGTTTTGATGCTACTTAGTTGATTAAATACTCCTTGTTGCAGTAGCTAAAGAGCAAAATGGCCAGGGTACTGATATGAAATCTAATCAAAACCAGAGTTTGTACGGCAATCTAAGGAACCTTAATTTGACACTGGTCTTGTCAACCTGCACAAGGTAAATACTACAGAAAACATTATGAATTTGAGAAGAAAAGCTCTTCATTGAAAAAAGAGATAAGTTCAGTACAAAAGAGAATGAACAACACTGGAAATTGCAGCAGACTATGAAAAAAGAGTGTGTTTAATTAAAAAAGCTGCTTTCTCATGTAGGAACATGCTGCCCGGGCTGTGTAAACATGCTGTCTGCCTAATCAAGGTTTACAAAGACCTCGTAGCAGTGAAATAAAGTAAAACCCAAGGCAATGTGACATTCTTTGATTTTGTTAATTACCCCCTACTTCATCTTTTTTGTTCCCAGGCACGAAGCAGCTTCACACTCTTTCACAGACTTGTAGTAAATTAGACTGTTCAGTTAGGAACAGTAAAACAATAGGATGGAGGTGAATCTGAAGGTCTGAGAGTTTCATCTAATAATGAGACCTTGGAAGTTTTGCAGTGCTATTGGTCCAAGACTCCATGAAATTTTTCTAATGAAATGTAAATTGAGTCTTTGCTGAACGCAAATGGGAGAGGGAGGTTGGATGTACAACACTGAGTGTTGTACCTGATCTGGAGGGGAAGAAAAAGGCAAATCAACTTCTACACTGTACATTCAGATTCCTGCAGACTTATCAAGCCATTCTGAGGGTAAAAGCCTCACCTGAAGGGCCTCATCAGCTGCTGAAATTGACTCTGACAGACTTTGGCTCAGGGAAGAGGATCCTCATGGTACGAAGTGTATTCAGACACTGAATCAACCAGACTAAGGGGAAAAAAAAAAAATAAAAAAAAAAAAAAAATTAAATTCCAGAACACAAAGTCACAGCTCAGGTACATCTCAGCATAGTTTCCCATGACATAAAAATTGTCCAAGAACACTGAAGAGCACAAATATCACTCAAGTGCTATTCCCTAATTTTGTACCTTTCCTATTTCTCTAATTGGTGTGTCTGTATGCCATTAATGCTGCAGCCAATGTTTGCAATTTCCAATTTATAGATACTATTAGGCAGTAACGATTTAATTATGTACAGATTAGAACATTTTTTTTTCTTCTGTAAATTTCAGACTGTGTTTCAGCAAGACATGTTTTCTTTTGTGCATGTAACACCTTTTTGGGAATAATAAACTAAAATGCAAAGGTGTAGTAATGCAAACAGGAGTGACTTGATCCTCAAATGCAATCAGAGCAACTCAAAGATGAAGAGCTGGAACAAAACAAATTAAATGGTTTTAGTACTGAAATTTTTTACAATTTATACACACAAAAAAAGACATGAGGGAAAGAAATTTTGTAACCTCTGTTCAGCCAGTAGTGAAAGAGATTCTGATTATCCTGTATTTTTGGTGCATTATGTGAATCAGTAGTGGTCCAATGACAACAGTGGTCAGAAGCTTCCAGTAGCAACAGCATCAGTAGACAGTGCAAAGCTGTGAATGCAGCTCCTATATTTATGCTATCATTTCTTAAATACAAAGTTGAAAATCTAAATTTTTGGTAACCAAAAGACAAATTTCCTAAAATATACATATTTCCATCTGCTATTTTTGCAAAATGTCTTTAGCTTAAAGTGAGCAGAATATATACTTTTTTTTTCTGTAAAGACCAGATATTACTAATACTACCGCATCTTCTTTTCTTCCTGTCAACATTTTTTTCCTTCTTATTTCTGTCAAGGAAAAACAGAATAATAGAAAAAAAGAAATACAAACATATGAAAAGCATGAGAACCAGGTGTTTACCTAATGATGAGTTTCACTTTCATTCTGCTCCTGAACATAATGGAGCCCTCTTTCTCAGGAAGAACTAGAGTAAAAAACCCAATCCATTTATTGTTTGCTTATCAAGCAACAGTGGTTATTTGAATCTGTTTTCAAGAGAAGAAAGTCATTCAGTCTGTCTGCAGCAGTCACATCAATGAATATCAAAAGATAGGCATTCATTCTGGCATGGTCAGCTGGTCAACTTTTTCAGCCCAAAATTAAAAAAAGGAAGATGACCTAGACTATAACAGGACAATTAAGTCAGCATCAATATCAAGTAAAATCATGGGGGAACTGCACTACAAAATTCAAGCTATACACAGTTAAAGATGAAATTAATGCCATCAGCACTGCTTCGAAGAAAACATTTATGAAATCTGTGGTTTAACAGCGAAATCTGCATGTGTGCAACGTAGCCCACTTAGTTCTTATTCAAGTGCTCAGTTTATCTTTGCAGCAAATTAGATAAATAAAAATGAGCTCACACAAATAGATTTGGTCAGATTTCAAGAACACAGTTTTATGAAAGAACAGCAATTGAAGTCAGTGTGATATTTTGGATATCACAATATTTTGCAGTATACGGAACATATTAGGTCTGATAAAACTCAAGTTTTTCCACCAGTGATCCAAAAGTACTTCCAAAAACTTTGTTGATCAAACTGTCAGATAACAAATACGGGTACTATGAAAGTTCTGTGACTGAAAAGCAGTCACACAGAATGCCAGAAATTACCTGAGAAATTGGTCCTAGCCATGAGGTTTTCTTTCTAAAAGTCTGCAGTGCAAAGTACCACATATAGATGCACAGAACATAGAAGACAGAAGAAGCTTAGAAGATGGTGGCCTCCACTCCAGAGCAGCAGCTCAGGGAAGACTGCATGATATTTAGAAATTGCACCCTAAGGTCATGGTGTCAGTATAAAGAAAAAAATGACCTGCAGCAGAAAGAGGAGAGTAAGCTAAAGACACTGAGGTAGGTGTTACATACTCCTTTGCAGAGGTTTGGAAAACATGCAGAAAAGACTTTCCACAGTGATCCAGGAGACAAAGAACACACTTTGCTCTTGCAGGAGATAAGGAGAATAATGTTTAGTAAGCATGAAAAATGAAGACTGAAGGGTGATGGGATTACAGTGTACAAACACTTCCCTGAAAAGAAACAAGGATTTCCTGAAGTGCTCTTCAATTTAGCAAGGAAGGGCATAACTTGAATTACTTGATGGGAGCTAATGCCAGGGAAAATCAAATAGAAAGTACCAATCTTCATCATGACAGTCAATAATCAAAGCAAATTATGAATGAAAGCAACTGATTCTGCAGCTCTGGTTACCTTCATCCAGGCAGTGTACCCTGCAGGAGCATATATGAATACAGCAGAACTCAAACAGTGGCTAACCCTGCATTATAGCCAGAGCCAGGGTAGTACAAAAAGGACTCTCACCATGGTCCAGACACTGAGAGGAGTGCCAGTGTCCAGGAGCAGGAGCCATACTTACATCTGCTGGTGATGGACTAGGACACTGCTTCATTTTTCTCCTCAGACGTGGACCTTGCCCATATTATCCTGCCAGCAGCACTCACTGAGAAATAACTTTGAAAATGAGAGTTGTGGTCCCACATTCTCTCTGCCTCTCAGGTTTTCCTCTCCCTGGTACATAAAATGAAGGGAAAATAGTTGAATGCTCACTCTGCTAGTTCTGTTACCTCCTAGGGGCATCTTTCCTGCTCTGGTAGCTAAGGTCCAAGAGATACCCAGAGCTGCCATTCAACTTCAGGAGCATGAACGCTGTTATGTCTCCAGTGCTTCATAAACACTGAACAAATGGTACCCCTGGAAATTAAAGATCATCAATAAAACAGATGCCAGCTTACTTGCGAGTGGAAACAAGCATTCTCACCGTTCCCATTTTTCTGCAGTATTCACTGCAGAATCTACTTGAACAACAAAGTAGGACATCAGATAACAAATTAAATGTCTCAGAAGCATAAAGATAAAGCTTTCATAGGAAAAGGAGTGGGCACAGCAGTATAAACTCAGCTGTGTTTTTCAAGGGGAACAAAGAGAAACTATACGGACACAAAGGTGTCCCAAACAAAGCCCCACGATTTGAGTCAGTTCAGACTGAATGATCATGGCATAAATGATCCTGGCTTCTGAGCAAATCTGGCATCTTGTACAACAGATACAAGAGCCAACTGGACAAGCATCAACTCTGAGAGCAACAGCAGCATGTGCTACAGATGGAAATGACTAATGCTGAGAAGTTCAAGAATGAAATGTTAACCCACACTGCACTGTTTTAGATTTCATCCCTTCCAGCCCTTTGGTTAATTCCTTCTTGGCAAGATTTCCCCGAATTATTCTCCAGGTTGATATCCACGGTTTAGGTCTGATCTGAATGAAAGGTATCTTAACAGAAGGCAAAGCAATGGGAGTTTCAGAAGTCACGTTTCAGCCATAGCAGCTCCAGTCCTGGCAGTAAGTCAGAGCACGTAACCAATTAGGACCGCTATGGGACCTCTGACCAACAGAGATTTGGCATCTGTATGAAGTGCTCCCCTACCCCACTCTCATTCATCCTTCCAACATGCTGCCTTCTCAGTGTCCTACAGTAACAGGAATATGTTGATGGTCCAAAGCACAAATAAAGGGGTCAGGCATGAATGCATTTTACTTTTTCAGGAAGTCTTTCCTAAAAAGACAGCAACAGACTCTTTCCTCTTCCACAGATCAATTGAGCCATGAAGATTTACCTGCAGCACAGTAAGAGATTTAGTATGCTGCCATCTCTGAAACACATAGTGAAATTTTGCTTATACAAATTCAATTTTTGGTCAGCTACTCTTTCCTAAAGCAATGATACTTGCTCTTGTTCGATACATAATAATGGTAATTTGTATCCTGTGTACATGTGATGGAGAGTGGGGAAAAAAATATTTGTGCTATCTTATACTACTGAAAAAATCACAGAAAGATAAAAGAGTAGCCAAAACTTTCCCCTGGGTAATAAGAGTATTTGTGAATTCATGTTTAATCCGTTCTTTTACTTCATTTCTACTGCTTTGATTCTACTCCTTTCCTTCCTGGATGTTACCTAGCTCATGCACAAATCCATGAAACATATTCAGCTGACAGCAGAAGACAGCAGCCGTTTTTGACCATGTAAAAAGGATGCTGTGTAATGCCTATCACGCACCTTGCTATAGTGTTCATCTGCGTCAGTGAAGTAACCAGAGGCAGCTCTGTGTCACATTTACCTGGAATAACGCTAGATGATGCCTTATGCCATCTCTCCTATCTGTGACAGCCACCTGGGGCAAGCACAAAGTTGTGCCCACTCCTTCCCAATCCATGAAGCAGGACACAGGGTTGAAAGGTCCTGTAGGAGATGACTGAGCACTGAACTCACTGCTTCCATATCTCTCCAGGAGAACATCCTTTCTCCACAGAATACATCCGATTCCTTCAGATCTCCCAAGTATGACAGGTTTAGAATAGTGATTGGTGGCATAGATATCAGTCAAGAGTTTCTCACAATTCCTGGATTTCTAAGCAGGTGACAGATCTGACTATGTTAGTACAGACACCGGATGTTTGCTCTTCACTGGATTCAACCAGACTCACTCATGCTTATGCAAAGCAAATCCAGGTGTGTGCCAGGGCTGAGATGACAAGCTGTACTGAGGCCTTTAAACATACATGCCATATTGCTGTGTTTTTCACAATCTAGATTATATAAAGAAATAATAACTAGCCAGTATCCAAAGTGCCATTGTCAGTGATGTCTATAGGCAGAAAGCATCACTGCTTAAGAGCAGGTTAGCGTTATACTCTTCCAAGGAAGGTGTCCTCAAGCTCTGTAACAATTCCCTTTTCTGAGAGACCCACTGAGCCTTTAGTTTCATCTGAAAAAGATACAACTCTTAGCTCACGAAGAAAAGCTCTACAGCTATGTTTATGCAGAACAATTATTATATTACATAAAATTAATTGACCTTCAATAAATGAAACCAGGAGACATGTTTTACTTTACTGTGCAACAGATTGGTACAATATATTCTTTCCATTTCCCATTACTGTGATAGGAGAGCACTTAGTAATGCAGGTTTGCCTTAAAGTACTATAAAAAGTAAGCATCTGCCACTCATTGATTCCTGGAAAGAGTGTAATACTTGGCTCTCCAAAAATGCCCTCTGAAATAAACAAAAGCAGTTGGTAAATATGGATGCTACTTACCAATCCAATACTCCAGTGGAGCTATTGGAAAGAATTTTAGGCAGGAAAGATGCGTTTATGACTGGACAGCACTGAGGACATTAGAATTTCAAATACTCACTGAGCTGAAATGTTTATGCACTGCCACCGTCTGATTAATAACATTATCAGCAGGGTTGACAATGTTATTAATTGTAGGGATGAGCACCAGCTGATCGGGAGCTGCCATGGAAGCTGTTCCATCATCTTGGACATAGGGCATCCAGATCCCACTTCTCAGATGCGAAGTCACAGGCCATGAGATGAGAGAAACATTCTTGTTCACTTCATTCTGACCTGAGTCAACTACAGACTAGCTTAAAGGTCTAAAGCCTAAGTTTTAATATCCTTTTCAACCTCCACTATCACATTCTCAAATAGAGTTGTGGTTGCATTATATGGCTGCTTTTCAGGCTAAACTGCACAGTGTAACTGCAAGAACACAACTTTCATGGCACAGGAAAGGTAAGGCTATGATGCATTTCAAAGCAAACGTAATGTAATGGAAAACACCAGCCCACAATAGAAAAGGGTGGACCAGGAAGCCTTCAAACAACAGCTGTCACAACGCAGCACAGGCAGGCAGTTCAACTGCCCCCATATTAAAGGTGCCTTGTTGAGCACCTGCATGGGTGTCCTCAAGCTACATGCTTTGTCAACATACCATAACTGAGAATATGATGAAAAATATATGGGAATAAAAAAATAAAAACAAATTAGTTACAAAAATAAACAGTTTGCTTGGTAAAAAAAAAAAGCAAAATATATTATTGCTTTAGTATCTGCGCTGATCATTTTCTTGACTGCTAACACATCCAACAGTCTTACTATAAGAGCAGTGGAAAGAAGAAAAATTGAGTGGGAAAACAGAAGGCAGGTACAATACTGTGATACAATGGAAAACACAGCAATGACAGCAAAGTCCTAGGCTGAGGACTTTGAACATTTACCCAAATGCAACAGCCACATGCACAGAACAAAGAAAACAAAGAAAAGAAAATGCTTACCTTCAGTAGGCCTGTGTAAGGCAGGGATCTCCAGCAAAAAATCCTTGCTTCCACTGCCAACCCTTAAATGAGGTCTGGTAAGGGGTGATCCTGGCTCCACTCCTTCTGGTCCCATTGCATGCAGCTGAGCTCCCCCGGCTTGGCCCTGCCTTCCACCAGGTACTCAATCACTGCTTCAGGCTGTGAGTTAGCATTTCTGCTACAGTGGGTAAATATACATGCGAATTTAAAATTTTTTAAAAACACAAACCTGCCATCTTGAGAGAAACTACGGCCTTCTATTTTTGGTTTGAAAATGAAAGCTGTAAGCTACATCAAAATGAACAACGTAAGTGATTAAGAGGTGCTGTCCTTTACTAAAAATTTATTTACCATTAAGGC